TTTCTATTGTTGTGAAGAGATACCATGACCAAGGCAATTCTTATAAAGGAAAAAAATTAACTGAGGTGGCTTGCTCACAGTTCAGAGACTTAGTCCATTATCATCACGGTGTGGAGCATGGTGGCTGGGAGTGTGGTGGCATGCAGGCAGACATGGTCTGCAACACTGGGCATGGCTTGAGCATATATGAAATCTCAAAGCCCACCTCCACAGTGACGAACTTCCCCCACACCTATTTCAACAAGGCCACACCTCCTAATAGTGACACTCCCTTTGGGGGGCATTTTCTTTCACACTACCACATAGAGACAGAGCCTCAGGTCTCTCTGTATTTCTGCCACCACCCAGACAACTCTAAAATGGTCTTAAATCTGAGAGCTACTGTGCTCTCCTCTCCTCCCTTTGTCTGGACAGTTCAAACTGGATTTCAGGGCTATATGTGTTCCAGCTCTTAGGAAGAAAGGTTATAAAGTGCCTAGCCATTGAGTGCATGGAGTATATTTTGTATATGTTACTTTCACATCCAAATATCAGAAAAAAACTGAGAGAAACAACTTAGGGAGATGTGGTAGTTTGAATGAAAATGGCCCCCTAGGCTCTAAGAGACTGACACTATTAGGAGGTATGGTCTTATGGGAAAACAAGTGTCACTTGGGGGGTGGACTTTGAGGTTTCAGAGGCCCAAGCCAGGCCCAGTGACACTCTCTCTTCTATTACCTTCCAACCCAGTGTAGAGCTCTCACTTCTTACCTTTCCAGCACCATGTCTACCTGGGCACTGCCGTGATGATAATGGACCAAACCTCTGAACTGTAAGCCAGCCCCAATTAAATGTTTTTCTTATAAGAGTTGCTGTCATCATGGTGTCTGCTCACAGCAATAGAAACCCTAACTAAGACAGGAAGAAAGATATTTTTCTAAGAGCTCCGGTCCATCGTGAGGGGCTGGGGGGGGCACAGCAGAGAAAATCCGCTGTGGCTGCAGGAGTGAGCAGCAGATGTTCACATCATAGCAGACCAGGAAAGAGAGAGTGATTTGGGAAGCCAAGAAGACTTACTCCAAGGACCTGCCCCTAGTGACCTATCCTCAGCTAGTCACCATTTCCTAAAGGTTAAACAACTGCCCAAAACAGCCACCAGTTGGGGACCAAGCATTCAAACTGTGAGCCTCTGATGGACATTTAAGATTCAGACCACGGCTTACATCCACACTCACCACCTCCAGATCTTTGAGCTTGGAGTGCTGTGGTTGGGCGGCTATACACCCATCACAATGGGAGAAGGGGAGAGCAATTCTAGAAGACCATGGGAAGCCTAGGCTACCTTATGGTTCAAAGGAAGTTTTGTGTCACCACCATCTCTGGAAGAAGACGACTACTTACCAGCCTCAGTTTGAAGGGATCTGTGGTCTTTTCTTTTCACCTTTCTGTTGTTTGTTTGTTTTGTCAAATACAGCAACCCCAGCTGTCTTCCAGTCTTTCCTGAGATTGCACAGTCCAAGTCTTAGACTCCTTCCACCCATTATGCATCACATTGCCTAGCCTCTGCTTAGCAATTTCCAGTAAAAGTCAGAAGAAGGGCACCTGTGTTTAGCAGGAAATGATGGGTAATACGGAGCAATGCTGGCTAATTGAAAATGAGAGATAGAAGGAAAGGTGGGAAGCTTATTGATTTCACAGCTGTAAGGACCTCACACTGCACAATTCCACAAGTAGCCATGCGCATGAACCAAGAGGTAGCTGTCTCTTCCCAGAGTTGGATAATAGGGCTGTGGGATCTGTCTCACTCCCACTCCCTTGATGAGCCCAACACCCAGAGCTCTTGGGTCTTCCTGTAGTCGGTGCTCATCACCTTACAGACCTGGTCTGAGGGCTTGACTAAAGGGTCTCCAAGTTCCCAGATTCAAGATCCAACAAGGGAATGTATGGGAATTCTCTCCTCTAAGCCTGAGGCCTCAAACCTGAGAACCCATAGCTTCGATGTCACCCAGACTTGATTCTGAGTCTACCATGCACATAAAATGGAAGCTGTGGCCCAGTAACACTCACTGACACAATGCAGAAGACCCCCAGCCTGGGAAGCTGCAGTCCTGTGCCTGATACTGGAGGGCTCAGGATTCTGGACCCCTGGCCAGGCAGTCTGCATGGCTTCTCAGGCCCTCAATTCCCTAGTCTACACACTAAAGAAACCACACATCCATGAGCTGAAGGTAGGATGGCCTACTTTCCTTGGATTTGGTATTTATGGACATCCTGAGCTGTTGTAGGTTCCATGAGCACAGTATATCTCTAGCCTTGGGATATAGAAGGGAAAGGAAGGAAGGGGAGGGACGTAGAAGACAGAAAGGGAGCCCTTTGTGTTATCCATGTGAGTGCCCCTGGTGATAAGCCTTCAGGGTCCTAAGCTTCCCCAGCTTTTGCTGTAGATACAGCTTAAGGGCTATAACAAAGGCCAGATAGAGAAGGTTCAGGAACTGAGGCAGGGGGATGACTGTACATCCATTTTCAAGGTCTGTCAGATGCCTGGCTCCAGCCAGGGATCCTCTGTGGTCTGACTCACTCAGGAAGCACTGTTCATTCTTATGATGCTCTCATTTGTGGAATGGGAAATGCCCTGTTCCCAAGGGGGGGGGAGTGTCAAAATCAGTTTAAAATGGCTGTCTACTTTGATGTGTGGTGGACAGAAGTCTGAATTTCTCATTTGAGGATAAAACTGAGAGGAGAAAGAGGATGTTGTGGGAAGGGCAGAGAACACCCAAGGGGGAGGCAGGAGTGCCCAGAGCCAGCCTGGGTGAGGCTGTCCCAGGAAGTCCAAGCCGCACACGGCTAACTATGCAGGCATCCCCATTGTGTACAACACAGGCACGGAACACAGAAGCCACATACAAGGTGTACTCCCTGCCCCTCCACAACCTTCAGCTCCACTTCCCTGGAAATCTGAGGCAGAGGACAGCGAACTATCCGAGTACTCTCAAGAAGTTTGATAGCTTTCTGGAGACTCCTCCATGGATCTATCCAATGATCTCATCATTCCTCCCACACCGACTGATGCCCACACATCCTGTACCCTGTTCGATGCTCTCAGAACCCAGAACTCAGTTCCAGTTTCAACCATAAATAATAGGAGTTGAGGGCTGCAACTTGGATTTCACTAAAGGGGCTTGATGACCATGGATTTCAGGGCAATACACAACTGGAGAAACCCATTGAGGCGGACAGGATGGAATAGGAAGATACAGAGGCTTGGGGAGTAAAGAACATTGCAGACAGATGGCCTGACACAGTGGTGATGAGCCTGCACTTAGCATCCACCAGGACATTTTTAAGTGAACTGTGGCGCCAGCGCCACAAGCAACTCCAAGGTATCAGGAAAAGAGAGACAAGACATCCATTTGTTTGTACTAAGAGAATGCATGTGCTGCCTTTATTGCCAGGAGAGTGTGTGTGTGTGTGTTCATTGCAAGTGCTAAGAGGTCTCTCCCTTGTAGGAGGAAGGAGCTTTTTATACAGGTTTACAGCACAGTGGAAAAAACCCCAGGTAGAAGAGATCGTTGTTTTCCTCCTACTAAATGTTGATGTCAGAGGGTCAAGGCCAGGGCAGTAAGCCAGGACTAGAAAACAGAAAGCACTTGGACTGGAAAACAAGTTGCACTTGTAGGCTGACCAGCAACTCACAGAGACCCCATGGGGCTGGGGCCCAACATCTCCCCCCTTCTTTATATATAAATTAGTACCTATCTCAGGTGACTAGGATGTTAATGTCAATCTTAGTATACAAAAACAAACATTTATAAACAATATTTGGGAATGTGGGCGTCGTTCTTTTCAAGCTACTTCCTGCTGTTAAGGGGCGCTGAAATACCATGGGGATCATGACAAAAAAACAAAACAAAACCCAGAACCCTGTTGAAGTTCTTGTTTTTGTGGTCTGTAAGGCTGCATCATCTCAGCTGTTTTAGGTGTTGGATCACCTGGGCCACTGCTTCAGGTGGTCTTGCTTCATCAAACCATACTAGTCTGGAAGGAACCCACAGCTTTTTATGTTCTGTGGAAACAAAAGCAGAAATTCTTTTCCCAAGTAACCTGTCCTTATATTTAAATTTAGAAGTCAAAGCATTTTCAAAACATGCAAGTTGGATTAATTTAGCAATATTAATAATCAATTGTCTTTTAGCAGTTTTTTCCTTTCTCAGCAATTAAACAATTTAAAAACACCACAACTGTACACAGTATCCAGACTCTCTGTGTATTTTTCATTCTGTATACTTTTATCTTTTCCTTTTCTTTTCCTTAATACCAGTACCTCCTTTATTAACCGTTACCAATTTTCAATTCACCCACTTTTAATCCATCCTCCAACTGAGGGCAATCTCTCAGGTTCCCCTTTCTTTCCTGACCTTGGTGTCAGGCGAAGGCCTGGAGATTTAATCCAATCCACCCTCCAACCGAGGGTGATCTCTCAGGGTCCCCTTACTTTCCTGACCTTTGTCAGGTGAAGGCCTGGAGATTTAATCCAATCCACCCCCCCAACTGAGGGCGATCTCTCAGGGTCCCCTTACTTTCCTGACCTTGGTGTCAGGCAAAGGCCTGGAGATTTAACCCAATCCACCCCCCCCCAACTGAGGGCGATCTCTCAGGGTCCCCTTACTTTCCTGACCTTGGTGTCAGGCGAAGGCCTGGAGATTTAATCCAATCCACCCCCCCCCCAACTGAGGGCAATCTCTCAGGGTCCCCTTACTTTCCTGACCTTGGTGTCAGGCGAAGGCCTGGAGATTTAATCCAATCCACCCTCCAACCTAGGGTGATCTCTCAAGTTCCCCTTTCTTTCCTGACCTTTGTGTCAGGCAAAGGCCTGGAGATTTAATCCAATCTACCCTCCAACTGAGGGCAATCTCTCAGGGTCCCTTTACTTTCCCAACCTTTGTCGGGCGAAGGCCTGGAGATTTAATCCAATTAATTTTACTGTTAGAAGTTGAGGTACCTGTTTTTAATTTTTTTTCCAGTCTCTCCTTTTCCAGGCTTTTATCTGGCCAATCTTTTCCAGTCTTTTCAAGTCTCTCTGGATCTCAGTGGCACCTCCAATTGCTGCGCCAGCACCACAAGCAACTCCAAGGTATCAGGAAAAGAGAGACAAGACGTCCATTTGTTTGTACTAAGAGAATGCATGTGCTGCCTTTATTGCCAGGAGAGTGTGTGTGTGTGTGTCTTCATTGCAAGTGCTAAGAGGTCTCTCCCTTGTAGGAGGGAGGAGCTTTTTATACAGGTTTACAGCACAGTAGAAGAGATCGTTGTTTTCCTCCTACTAAATGTTGATGTCAGAGGGTCAAGGCCAGGGCAGTAAGCCAGGACTAGAAAACAGAAAGCACTTGGACTGGAAAACAAGTTGCACTTGTAGGCTGACCAGCAACTCACAGAGACCCCATGGGGCCGGGGCCCAACAGTGAACAGAACATCACTAATAATTACAATGGCAAGACAATAGGTACCGACTGGCATGGTCCCAGACACAATAGGTGTAAACAGGGATGTTGTGTGAGCACACAGGAACATGCCACCTGCTAAAACTGCCTGACCACCCTTAGCTTACTGACTGTGTGACCTCTGTATAACCTCTGTGCCCTTTTCTGCATCTGTGGCAGGAGTTGGTTCTGAGGTGTATCTCATGGGGTGTCTGTGACCCTTAGAGAGATTTACTTATGAAATACTTAGAGTCACTGTGGTGTGTGTGTGTGTGTGTGTGTGTGTGTGACAGCCATGACTGTTGCTGGCACCTCCATCTGGGATGCAGAAATGGTCTGAGATGACCATGTGGACAAAGGACTTGAAAAGGACACCTCGCCTGACTCAGTAAGGGAGGTCGTCCTTACAGTTCAATACACAGGGAAGCTGCAGCTTGGCATCACAGAAAAAGTTAGACACAAGATTGGGACCGGAATCCGGGTCTCCTTAAGTCTGCCTTCCTGAAGTCACAGAGTTGGGGAAGGTGACATAATCACCAAAACAGACATTGCCATCTGTAAAGGGAAACGTTTTCCTTGAGAGAAAGCCTTCCCGCCAGCCTGGTTCTAGAGCCGCATCAGTCCCAAATAAACACACAGGAGGCTATATTAATTATGAAGCTGTTGGCCTTGCTTGTTTCTTACTGGCTAGCTCTGACTTAAGTAATTACCCCATAATTGTTAATGTATTTCTCTTACCGGAGAATAGTTCCGGGCTTCCTACCCCATGGCGTTACATCTTGACTCTCGTGTTTCCCCTTCCCAGAGTCCTCCTGGACTCCTAGTCCCACTTATCTAGATTCCTATTGGCCAGCAGTGCTTTATTGACACAGGACTTCCCCAACAGCCATCTGGACTTGATGGCCTCATGCCCACTATGATGGCTGAGGTCATATGGGTAATCCTCCTGGAGCCCTGGCTGCAGGTTGCACAGTCTGCCCTTCAGCACCTGTGATGGGAACCTCTGAAACCATGAGCTAAATTAAGCTTTCCTCCTTTAAGTTTACTTGTCTCTGGCATTTTGTCACAGGGACAGTAAATTAACACACCACCCACTTTCCACTCTCCTTCAAGGAGAAAGGCCTTTGAGCTCAGGGTTCAAGGATCCCTTGAACGTTTCAGTGTACAGAGCTCTTGCAAATTCACCAGCCCATTTGAGCTACCCAAAGGAGACAGAACTGTCCCAGCATCACCTCCAATTTGCAAAGCAGGTAGCTGAGGCCTGGAGGTAATCTGGTTTGTCAAAGATCACAGTGCTGGGTGACAACTTGTGTTCACACCCAATGATTAGTGCTGCTGTTGTGTGTGTTTATTCACTGACTCTTGTCATATGTGTGGGAAGTCCCCGTTTCAAAGACCAGGCTGAATTTTTTAAAAGGAAAGAAAAAAGTCAAAACCAACAAACAGAACCTGATGAGTGAGCATGTGTGCATGTGTGTGTGTGTGTGTGTGTGTGTGTGTGTGTGTGTGTGTGTGTGTGTGTGTTTGCATGTGGAACCAGATCGGAGCACATAGCTAAGGACAGGGCAGAGGGTGGACTCCTGAATATAATGCATGTTGATGTTGTAAATGAGACCAAAAGCAGGAAAAAAAAGTCCCATCCTGTACTTATAAAAACATCGCTCAGGAAAGAAAATCTAGGAATTCTTACTGCCAAGATCTTATTTCAGGGTCCACCTCCAGCATCATCCGCAGGACTCTATAGTTAGCCATCAACCCTTAGCATGATGCAAACAGTGGCCCACATCCATCTACGTGTGTGCAGCGCAGTAGCTGACACCAACATGCTGACGAACTGGGACATGCACACACGTACATGCACTCTCTCTCGCACATGCACACACATGAGCGTGCACACACACACACACACACACACACACACACACACACACACACACACACACACACGGAGTCTCAAGCACATGTCTCACTGTGGTACTCACAAGCACAGGATTCCAAGCCTCAAACTCAGGCAGCCAGGAACAAGGAGGTGGTGTGGTCCCCTCCAAGGGCTGTTCTGTGAACACAGCTGGTTCCTTTGTAACGCACAGCATGGTAGCTCTGTTGACTCAGGGCCTCCAACAGACCCAACTGCAGTGTATGTGCACCCAGGACAGATATCAAGTTCTTAGCTCTCGCAGGAAAATGCCAAGCTGAAGGAATATGCAAGAAACCAAAACGAGAGCTGCAGGGAACAGGACAGAAGGCATGGCCCAGCCAGGGCTGACCCTAACATTCCCACCAGGGGACTGAGGCGCAAATTAGGAGCACACAGGCCCTCAGCTTCCCTTCCCTCTCTTGCCCTCAGTCAGAACTGTCCATCAGGAGTGGAGGCCTTCTGTAGTCAACAAAGCCACAGCATGACCTCTGGCTCCTCCTACACCCAGGGCTTGGCTTCAGTTCCCAAGGAAGCAGAAAGATGGCTCAGTAGTCAAAGGGCTTGCTGTGAAAGCCTGGTGAGCTGGGCTCAGAACCCATGATGTAAGAAGACACAGAGAGTAGCTCATGGGGCAGTAACCTCGGCATGGTCACAATGGCAAATGGGAGGCAGAGGCAGCAGGATTGCTGGAAGTTCAAGGGCCAGCAACTGTGAATCAGAGCCCTTGTCTCAGAAAAATTAATATCAACACCTAAAGTTGTCTTCTGACTACCCCCCACACACACACAGAGCCAGGGGTCCTTGTGGGTCCCTCCAGCACCCCTTCAGCTCTGGAATCACTGAAAACCCTATACTTCTAGCTTCTCAGCCTTGTCAAAACCATGCACGGCTCTTCAGGACAGCAGTCCCATCTGGGCTCCTTCTATGGCCTCTCCTCTTCTGAGCTCTTTGAGACCCATTTCCTGGAGGTAGGGGTGGGGCTTGCAGCGGGAGAGACAGCACTCCCCAAGCCTCACAGCTGGTGACATTGACATCCAGTCCTCAGGAATGGCCTAGAACATGACATCACCACCCAGGCATCTGCTCTCCCTTTGCTGAGATGGCCTGTGGCTGTGACTGTGGCTGTGGCGTGCCTGTGACATCCGCAGCCCCTGAATCCAGCTTTGTCCCTCCATCAACACTCTGACCCAGGAAGGTGCCTGAAGCCACTGCTCCCAGAGATCAGTGAAAAGGCTTTAACATTTCGGTAGAAACTGTGGTAAATGTGAGCTCCATGAGAGGAGATGTCCACCCTGCACAAGGAAACCAGCAAGGGACCATGTACAAATTCATTTCTTTCTGCTCTTGAGTATGGATGTGATGCGACTAGCTGTATGAAGCTCCTGCCTTCACTTCCCCTCCTTCCCCACAATGAGGGACTCTAACCTGAAACTGTAAGCTACAATAAACCCATCTCCCTGAAATCGCTTTTTGTTATCACAGGAACAGAAATGAAACTAAGGCACACTGTTTCAAAAGAGGCCATCCTTTCATCCCCAGGAGTCCCACATGCCCCCACAGTCTGACCCCACCCCCTGGTGACAGACCCTCCCAGGGCTCAGGGTGTCCAGCTCCCAACCCTTATGAGCAGAAATGAATTGTACATGGGCACTCAGCCTGTCTCCTGGGAACTCTGAGTGACGGTAGGATGGCAGTGGTTGGCAGGGACTGTCCAAAGCCTTACTGGGAGCTGAGACTCTGTGATACCACAACTACTCTCCCCTCTCCCTATTCTGCCCCCACTACCTGGTCAGGGAAAACAAGGACACACAGAAGTAAATGTGCCAGGACAGGATGGTGGGACATTGGTTGTCAGTGGAACTAGTCCTATCTATTCCTCACCGGGGCTGCAGAGCTGGTGCATGGGCCAGAAACCTTCCAGGGAGCCAAGCAACTGTGCCTTACAGCACTGGTTCCCTCTGTGAGACTCTCCAGCCCCGCCCCTGCCCATTTGAGAACCTTCTCTCTTGCCCCTTCCCGTATGCACCCTAGTTTAGCACAGCTGACATCAGCTGAGAACCCAGCCCTATGTCCTCACCCTCCAGCCCTCCCTTCACCTCTGCCTCCTAGCCCCCTCCACTCTCACCTCTGCCTCCTAGCCCCCTCCACCCTCACCTCTGCCTCCTAGCCCCCTCCTTGCCTCCTGTTCCTCTGCTCACTCCTTCCCATGCCACACCTTCCTTCTCTGTGTTTCTCTTCTGCACAGGGAACTATCCACTGTGCCCAGGAGTACTTTGTCTCCTGTCCATTATCCTGACATCATCTGCACATTGGACTCCAGTGCCAGACACATATTTCTACCCTTCCTAAAGAATAACGAACTCTGGGAAACGTGGGACTACCCACTCAACACTACTGGACACTCCCAAGCTCCTGAGCTTACAGGCAATGACCATGCTGGGCCCACTGCTCTCTGTGCCTTCAGTCCTGAGCCTTGCACTGGCATCCTTCCCATGCACCATCGCAGACACTGACAGTCTCACTAGAACCCCTCCTCCTAACCATTATGGTCCTCAGCAGAGGTAAAATTAGTCTGAGCTTAGTATCTCCCATGCAGATTGACAATAGTACATGGATGAAATGCAAAGCAAATATCCACATATATGAGATGCGCAAATAAAATGTATAAGCAAATGCATGAGGCCTATGAATGAAACAGACAGGCAAATACATGCATGAGATGTTCAGTGGCCACGGCCAGCGTCATGCTCTGACCACAGCCCAGCTGCAGCACACCTGGCACATGTTGGCACACGCCGTGGTCCTCACTGTCTGTCCTACCAGAGCAGGGGAGTAGCTGTCAGTTCTCACATATTCAGACATGTGGTTTAAAGCAACTCCAAGTTTGCTGGAGGTGACCAGCCCAGGGACAGTGTAGCAGCTCCAAAATTATCAGAGCTGCCCTGTCAACCTATGGCTTACAGTTTGTAGCACAAAGTGGCTGATTGAAGTCCAGCCATAGCATCGGCATGCCAAGCAACCAGGACAAGGTAAAGGAAGACACAGCCTTTGTCACTGTAAGGATGCCTGACTTTGTCAGAGGTCAAGAATGATGCTTATTAATGGCAGAGGGGTTGATCTATCAGAATGATGTCACAGATTCAAGTCTGTAAGGACTCCATAACATTGCTGAGGAATATATGACCTGAAAACTAGAAGTTGGAGGAGGACTTGACAAATCTCACATCAATGCAGGAGTCTGCCAAAAACCTCCAATAACCAATGAAACAAGCCTGCACACAATAGGATAAGTTGACCTCGTTGACCTCTAAAAATTGGTCTGCATACTTTCCAAGTAAAAGGGAACCCCTCCTGACAAACAAAACAAAAACAAAACAATGATGCCTTCAAAAAAATCAATCTGCCCCTTCTGCTCACATGCCGTTTGCCTGCCGATGGCTAACCCTGACAATACCTCACGGAGAGGCTGGGATATAGCAACACACTCCAGGTGGCAAAGTCCGCAGCTAAAATTGAAAAATGATCTTCCAAGAAAACAAAGTGAGCACACCTCCCCTACTCCTGTCTTCTGTCCAACGAAGTGCTGCCAAGCCGCCTCACATTGTAATGGGGCACAGAGAGATTAAGTAGCCTGTCACATCCCAGGAGCAGAGACTACCCGCTGAGGTGTGTGCCTACTGAGAAGTCGAGAGGGCCAGTGCCCAGCAGGCCTTCTGGAGCCCCACTGACTTCACAGTTCTCGGAACAAGACAAGGAGGTGTTGAGTCAGAGAGGGGGCATCTGGGGAGTAGAGCGGAGCTCTCGTTTACTGAGCACTGTATGTGCCGAAGTCTAGTTAGATCCTGGACTGGTAGGATCCCACAGATCTTCCTGAGGGCCTTGTAGCAGAACATCACCTCTGTGCCTTCAGGTGAGGCCCCTGGGTGGGAGAGCATGGACTTGCCCACAGCACACAAAGAGAATTGAAGTTAGCCGTCAGTATACAGACAAAGCCTCCCAACTTCTTCTTGTGGTGATGCCTTGTTTGTACAATTAAAGCGTGTCTGAAGATCAGAGGATGCAGCTTGCCACTAGCTAATAGACAGGAAGTGAGATGGCTGGGCAGAGAGAGGCATATAGGAGGAAGGAAACAGGAACTCGCTCTCTCGTCGGCTGGGAAGTTAGCCAGGTAAGGTGTGGCTGTGGCTTGTTCCTTTATCACTCTGACCTCTAAGCTTTTACCCCTGTATCTGACTCCATGCTTTCATTAAGACCCTATTAATACGTCTTCTGGCAGAGCCACGAGCCAACTGGACCTGCTTCCTCCTCTGGGAGCTGGGGAGTTGAGGACAGGTGAAGTGGCCTAGACACTCCTTAAGGTCCCTTCCAGACAGGTGCCTGTGCGCAGTGACACACGCAGAGGCCCTGCTCAGACCTGTAGCTGTGTCAGCTGTGTGAGTATGCATGAGCAAGTGTGAGCATGTGTGCGTATGTATGACAAGGAAACATGCCCCACAATGGAAGTGAGATGGGGAGAGACATAGGAGCTCTGGACATCTGTGGGTTAGCCTTGCCTCGTAATAACACCACTGAGATCCAAAAGTCTAGAAATCCCCCTCCCATGGATTGTATGTCTTCATCTGGGGTCCAAGTACTCCCAGTGCCTCAGCCTCAAACCCGCTGGGAAACACTGACTGGCGAAGCCATTGCAGGTGCTGGGGTGGGGATGACACCAAGGATCCCCGGTGTTCCCTAGCCAGCACGCTTGTGTCCTCCACAGGCCCAGGCGTCATGGCACACTGCAAGACAGAGCAGGATGACTGGCTGCTGGCCCACCTGAAGTACCTGCTTTTCATCTTCAACTTCTTCTTCTGGGTAAGTGGATGCCATGGCACACCCCGCCCCAGTCTGGCCACATTCACTTTTCAGTCACTGTGCCAAGGTTGACGTCTCCCAAGTCAAAGACCACATGGGACCCATGCTGCCCGGCTCTCAGAGTGACCCCTGCCCTGGCTATGGAGGCAGGTGGAATCCGAGCTGCAGCTTTCATGGAATCCAGCACAGCACACACACAGGCCAAACTGTCCGTGCGCAACTTCATCTGTCTTCCCCAACTCCGGAACACCATGCCCATGTTATCCTGACTGCTGAGATGGTGTCCCCTTCCCACTGAAACTCACTGGCTTTGCCTGGCTGTGGTCTCAGAGCTGCACTGTGACAGGGATGATCTCTATGGCATCTGCCACAGGTTTCCCACAGCAGTGTGGCCTCTGTCTGCCAGACAGAATTACCTGTTTAATTAGGAACATGATGCCGTCAAATCCCAGAGGGCCTATGGAGAGGATCCATTTTACTCTAATCCATTTGTGAAGATGGTGTCTCACTATTCAGTACTCTTGCCTCAGTCTCCCAGCTGCGGAGCTTATAAGCTTGTCATCACATTCGGTGTTTGTTGACTGTGTGTTTTGTTTTATGGCCTCACTGGACGCGGGAAAGACAAGGGGGAAGGTTTGCAATCTGCAGAGACCCTGGTAGCTGCGGGATGCTGTGGCCCAGGACGACTTAGTTCAGATCTGAGTTTGTTTCCCTACCTCTAGTTTGGAGATCACCTCTAGCCTCTCAGCCTTAAAAGGCACCCAAATCAACATCCTGATGAGGCAGGGCTGGGCTCCAGGTACCAGGCAATAAACAACTACCCTGCCCCTATCTCAGAAACACAGGTGGCCATAGAGTCACATTGGTTTCAAGCTCAGGTGGTTTCAAAGCATAGGGGAAACTGATAGCATCAGATACTATCTGTTAAAATGATGGACATGGTGTTCGCTTAAATGTATTTTGTAAAGTTCCTGAGAACAAAAAAATAAAATAACTTGCTTTGATCTTCCCAGGAAAGAGTTTTCTGGAACAGGGAGGCCCATGGGTACAGATCCTAGATAATTAAGCTCTGTGACTGAGGACTGAGGTTAGGCTGTGACTAGACTGCACGTGTAGATTTGACCCGTAGATAAGCTACTTAGGGTGCTCAGAATTCTTGCAGAGCAAGCATTCTCCATCCCTCCCCCTCCCCTTTCTTCCTTTTTTGTTTTGTTTTTGAGAAATTATAAGTCAGTCTTTATTTAAGGAAATCGGGATCTGTGTTACCATAATACATCCAGGCATGCCACTATCTCATTCTTTTTCTCATTTATTATTATTATTATTATTATTATTATTATTATTATTATTATTTAACAATATTATTTTACATACCAATCCCAGATCCCTCTGCCTCCCATCTTCCCACTCCCCCCACCATCTCCCCACCCATCTGCCCCTCAGAGAGGGTGAGACCTCACATGGGGAATCATCAAAATCTGTCACATTATTTGGGGCAGGCTCAAGGTCTTTCTCCCCCCTGTATCTAGGTTGAGAGACTATCCCTCCATAGGGAATGGGCTCCAAAAAGCCTGTCATGCACTATGGATAAATACTGGTTCCACTGTCAAAGGCCCCATAGACTGCCCAAGCCCCACAACTGTCACCCGCATTCAGGGGGCCCAGTTCGGTCTTATGCAGGTTCCCCAGCTGTCAGTCTGGAGTCAGTGAGCTCCCACTTGCTCAGGTCAGTTTCTACAGTTTTCCTTAACATGGTCTTGACCCCTTTGTTCATATTATCGCTCCTCCCTCTCTACAACTGGACTCTAGGAGTTCGGCCCAGTGCTTAGCTGTGGATCTCTGCATCTGCTTCCATCAGCTACTGGATGAAGGCTCTATGATGGCAATTAAGGTAGTCATCAATCTGATTATGGGGAAAGGGCAGTTACGGCACTCTCTCCACTGTTGCTTAGATTCTTAGTGGATTCCTGGGAATTTCCCTAGTGCTCCCTCTATCAAGGTTGGCATCTCTTTTCTCGTTCTCACTTTCTGTCCTTACCCCAACTCGACCTTCCCGATTCTTCATGTTCTCCTCCCCACTCCCCTTCCCCGCTTACCACTCTCCTACTACCTCCCCCCTCCTCCAGCACTTCCAGTTGACTCAGGAGATCCTGTCTATTTCCCCTTCCTGGGGGATCCATGTATGCCTCTCTTAGGGTCAGCCTTGTTTCCTTGCTTCTCTGGGGTTGTGAACTGTAGGCTGGTTATCCTTTGCCTTATGTCTAATATCCACTGCGTCTGTCTTTCTGTGGCTGGGTTGCCTCACTCAAGGTTTCCTCTTGTTCCATCTTTTTGGAGTATTTTTAAGGTTTGTTGTTGTCTCATTTTTGAGACAGGGTCTCATACCCAGGCTGTAACCCCGGCTGTCCTCAGACTTGTGACAATGCTCTTAGCTTTAGCTAGGATAACACACATGAACCACCACCATGTGGGTCAAACTTTTCTTTGTAAGACCGTTTTTCCTGACCCATAAAGTCTCCTGTGCCCACTCCAGATAATCTCCAAAAGACTGACAAGTATAAATCCCTCTGTCATTAACTCAAAGTGCCTCTTGAGTGTAGGTCCACACTGCAGGACTCTGCCAAAAGCCAGCATGGAGCAAGCATTCCAGGATGCCATGTTGGTGGTCCCAATTCCCAGCTTTGGAAGTTGCTGCACAGGACAACCCAATGGCCTTTCATTCAACTAGTGTTACTAGTATCCTTATTGTATAGATGGGGACCTGACTCATGTCAGTCACTGACAGTTGTCTTAGTTACTTTATTGCTATGAAAAATATGACCAAAGCAACTTATAGAAGAGAGAGTTTATTGGGGACTTACAGTTTCAGAGGGTGAGTCCATGACCATCATGATGGAGAACATGGCTGCAGGCAGGCATAGTGCTAGAACAGTAGCTGAGAGCTTACATCCTGATCCACAAGCATGATGCATGGGGAGCTAACTGGGAATGGGTGGGCTTTTGAAACCAGTTATGTACCTCCTCCAACAAGGCCACACCTCCCAATCCTTCCTAAATAGTTCCACCTACTAAATAGTTCAAACATATGAACCTATGGGAGACTTTCTCATTGAAATCATCCACGACAATCGAGCTGCTAGGCCAAACACCTACTCTCTTGTTGTATTTTTGTCTGTGGGATGGTAAGAATTAGAACTTGTTATTATGGAAATGTCTGTATTGGTGCCCTGCTGTAAGTAGGATGGGACAAACTGGTGACGGCCATCTCTTCAGCAGCTTCCTACATTCCTAGCACTGGGCTTAGAGCTTCTGGGTCATGACCTGTGTAGAAAACAGATGCTCACATGAAATGTTGCTTCTGAAGCAAAACTTGCCTGCATGGGGTGTGATGCCTTCGGAGACTTTGCTGTTTTGTCAATGGCAGTGTCATTATCACATGCAACTCACAGTCCCAAACGGGACACAGTCCCACCTCTGAGTAAGACAGAGTAGACCCCACTCTACTCACCCCCAGCAGGACCCAGGCACCACCCTTCCCCTCACCCTGTCCCTGAGGCCTCCTGGGATGAGTCTGGTCAGGGGTCACCATTGTTGTACCTCCTGGGTGACCCTGAAAGGCAAACATGCCTGGCTTTTCTGCATGGCTGCCAAAGAAACGCTTTCCTTCCTCCCCTCTGCCTCACACAGCTCCTGTCACCCCTCTGTTGTTCTCTAATTTATTATTTTAATTAGCTGCTTTGCTGTGTTAATAATCAAAATGTTCCCAACCTCCCAGAAGCTCTGCCAGGCTATGGCAGGAGCCTGGGCTGCTGCCTCATCTCACAGCTTGTCCTGCCTTGGGAGTCCACCCGGGCCCTGGTGCTGCCAGTGGGAATCTCTTTAAAGAAACATGAGTGACTGAGGAAATGTCCAACGGGGTAAGAGCACTCGCTGTGCAAGCACAAGGACCTGAATTCAAATCCACAGCACTTATGTGCAAAGTCAGTCAGAGAGGCTGACTGGAAATAAGAGGATCGCTGAGTCTGCTGGTTGCAGGCTAGCTCCAGGTTCAATGTGAGATCCTGTCTCATGGGTATAAGGGAGGAGTAGTGTTGATGAAAGTAACAGTACACGGGATAAGGATGTTATTGGTTATTTATTGTGGGAAATTACTTACACAACAAACCGAAAACCCAGGCTAGTCTCTGCAGCCTTTCAAGACCTGACCGGAACCCCCAAAAGAGAGAGAGCCCCTCTCCTCAAGATCTCTCCCTACAGAGTAGGACATTCAGAGTCCTCCTGTGGCCTCCGAGTATGTGTGGGCACGCATGCCTTCACACACACACACACACACACACACACACACACACACACACACACACACACGGTGGGGGAGGGGACAAACAGACAGACAGACAGACTGACTGCTCAGGGTTGAGAGTGGGAGCTGAAAGAAACATGGAAGACTCGAGCACCATCTGCAGGGAAGGTCAGAGAATATCCCCTCAACAGACCCTCACTTGAGATCCAACCACATACCCCCTCCTGCCCAGCCCCACATGGCCTCAGATACTAGAGTGCACGGGGTGTGGAAGGCTAACTGAAGGGCCTCCATCTTGGCAGCATTGAGGAAGCCGTCTCCTGTACTCAGGCAAGATTTTCAGTGAAGCAGCTGTTTGAGGGCATTAGGCAGAGTTGTCTCTTGGGTCTGGTGTCAAGTCCTATTTGGGGTGAGTTTGTTTGTATCTCACAATGCAGCAGCATCCAATGGGACAGTAAGATTCCTGGATCTCTCTAGTGGTGTGACCATAGAAATGTCTCTTCTGTCTGGGCCATAATTCCTCTCTCTAGAATAGGAAATTTTCTTTTTATTTTCCCTTTCTTCCTTCCTCTCTCCCTCCCTGTCTTACTTTCACCCCTTTTCCCTTCCTTCCTCCTTTCTTCCCTGAAGACATCTACCCTCACTCTAGCACTCTCCCTGGGATACCAGGGTAAATGAAGATTAATCAAGAGGCCAAGGA